CCCTTACTACTCTCTCCCTCTCTCTACTACTCCTCTAGCCCCTTACTCTCTCCCTTTCCTCTCAGCCTCTGCCAACTGACAATGAAGAGCACAGGGTCATGTAAAACACATATTTCATGCTGCATATTATTTTCTACTTCAGTTATATTACTCACAGCTGACATACATGAAGATAGCCCAGGCCTCCTATACCACTTCTACCTCTGCCGATCAACATTCCTCAAACTCACCCCTACCTGACTACATGATTACTGCACCATCTCTACGAAACCGCCATCTGTTTCAGTCAGTCGTCTGTCTCAGGCCTGGCTATCAGAGGAATTAGGATTCTTTCAAAGGAAGCAGCTTTGAATTGCTGCGTCAAGTATTTTTATCTCAACTTTGCTTTTCGTTTAAAAGTTTTCCTCAATTATTTCTTTATTCTTTAAGTTTAAAGGTCTTAAAAGTGTGTATAAGGAAATCTGAAAATCCTAGAATTCCTAGTTACAGTGAATTCACAGCTACTGTGACAATATGGTAACCACATTTCTCAAAATAGAACCCTCAACATATAATCTTTAAAAATTATGGTACCTAGAAAGACAGCTGGCACTATTCCAGACTACCCAAGACCAGGACTTTGAAGATGAAGTTATAGTCTCTGTACCTTCATTTATCTATGAAGGTAATGAATACAATTTTATGTGGAATGGCATTTAAATAGAAGCAAACAAGGAGATAGCAACAAATATAAATTCTCAACAACTACCTGATGAAAAGAAACAATCAGCTTAACAATAACAGCTTTATCAACTGAGATGTCATGGATGCACAGAATAGCTGATAAAACTATGACTGTTGCTAAGGAGAACATGTACCCTCAGGGCAGAACTTTACCTATAATACTATTGCTAATAACGGCAAATAATAACTCCAGTGTTTTCAGCTTTCTATAAAAGTATATGAGCCACAACATAAACCTCTTCCTATATCAAGCAATAAACAGATTAAAAATATGGTATAACGGCAAATAATAATTCCAGTGTTTTCAGCTTTCTATAAAGGTATATGAGCCACAACATAAACCTCTTCCTATATCAAGCAATAAACAGATTAAAAATATGGTAAAACTCCATTCGCATGTAGTATTGAAAAATTCACCCACGGTAGCCATCATGGCAAGTATGGGTGATAGATGGGAATGCAGCTACTGTGTCCAGTGTATAATAGTTCCAGGAGGAAAAGGGACCTGTAAGAAGTTGTATTAGTGTGGATACATGTAACAAGAAATCAAAGTCTATCATGCTAAAGAATTAGACGGTACTGGTAATCACTAAATGAATGATAATACTTTCTTATGAGAGTGGTTTTACTGGGCAGCCATTAAGGTTTAACTAGCTTAAGTATTATGATTTTTTTTCATGTCAATGGTCACCATTTAACTTCACACAGAAATTATAGCATTTATCTATTTCTTATTTTTATTTTAGTCTATTGAAATAAGTTCTACAACTAAAATGAAGCATAGGAAGATAATAATAAAAGTCACTTGTTTCAGGTAAGTAGAAAGTTATTTGGGAAACGTTTATTGGAGTAGTGTTGCTTGAGATTAAGAATCGGAAAAAAAATACTACCAATGCCAAAGGATTTAATAGTTAAGAGGATTAATTTCATTAATATTGGATAAGGGGAATATTAGAGTTCCTTAAAGTAGCAAAAAAAAATAATTTACTGCATGCAGCTGTTAGGGAAGTAGAAATAGTGTCTTTTCTACCCCCTGTGACATCTGGAAGATTCCATGTACAGTCCTAAAATAATGGGAACAAAAGCAAGATTAGAAAAGATTGGTATTATGAAAATAGTATGACCACTCGGGTAACTATGGCTTATACTCAATATCAACTAAGATAAGTTATGCAAAAGTTATTGAACCGCACAAAACTAAGATCTGTCATGTGTTCTTTTCATTACAAGAGGATGGGAAAGCAAAACAAAACCGCCAAGCAGTACAGTAAACCCGCGAGCTTTGGAAAAGCGAAGGAAGCCGACTTCCCGGTTAGTAGTCATGTACGTGTACACAAGTGCACAAAATCAGGCGGATTCCAAGGCCTGATTTTAAAAAAAAAAAAAAACCGTTATACAGTGATAGGTATCGATCATCATCCTGGATTTCATTTACACCACCCCCCTTCGGCCAGGACCAGGAAGCCTGGAAAATGTAACTTCCCCCAACATGCAGTCGCTCGCCAGAGCTGAGAGCCCTCGCCCTAAGGTAACGGAGAGCCCACTCTCCACGCCACGGCGGAGTCCCGGAGCCGCACAGTCACAATCCCGCTGGCCCAGAGGCGATCGGGCGGGGCGGGGACTCAGGGAGTTCCACCGCGACCGGGAAACCCAAGGGCGCGGGGCTCACCAGCTGCCGCACCTCCTCGCATGAGGCCATAGCCCTGGTGAGACGTAGGGAAACGGTGGTCTCAGGCCGGACGCAAACGCAAGTCCCGGGCCGCTTCGGAGAGAGACCCGCTGGGCGTAACTGGCGGGGCACGGGGCGTGCCCGGCGCCCCGCAGCCGTTAATGGGCGGGGCGGCTTCTGCCGGGGCTGGGGCGGGGCCGAGACGGACGGCTGTGGGAACGCGCCGGGGACTGCCAGGGGCTCCCGCGCTCCGAGCGAGCTTCTCCCGGGTGTGCCCCGCCGGACGTTTTAGACGAAAAGTCAAGTGTGCACGGAGGGTGACTAGAAACGTGAGCCTCGAAGGAAAGGCTCTAGATCCCTCAACTCCCCGCCACCGGCGGAAACAGTGGACGCGAGCCCGCGCGGAGCCCGGAAGTGGGCGGGGCCTCAGGCCGCAGACTGGCGCAGAGATTGAGTCCCAAGCGGAAGTGGGTGTGGCGGGGCGTGTCTAGTGGGACACTGCCCCAGCGAGGCGGTGTCTGCGCCCGCGGGACTCCAGACTCTTAAAAAGCTGCGATCGCGTGCTGCCAGCCACTGTGATCCAGCCACTCTTCGGGTCCTCCAGACGTTCCGGCCATGGTGTCGGGCTGAGCCGTCCTGGGGCTGAGAAGCGGAGCCGCGGTGAATGGAGGGGTCAGGAGAGCTGAGTTCTGAGGCGGTCCTGCGCTTTCTCTCCGAGCGCGGGGGCCGGGCCCGACACACGGAATTGGTGCAACACTTTCGGGATGCCCTGGGTGGCCAGCGCGAACAGCGCACACGCGCCCGCGAACACTTCAAGGAACTGGTCAACGCGGTGGCCACCGTGCGCACCGATCCCGCGGACGGTTCCAAGTATGTGCATCTCAAGAAAAGGTTCTGTACCGGGGAGTCCCCCCCGCTTGAGGCCGCGCTCCCCCGGGATCCCCCGCGTATCGAGGTGACTGAGGAGTCTCAAGTCCCTGACCTTCCAGCGGAGCCATGCGAGGACTGCCAGCTCCAGGAGGAGGCAGATCCACAGTTGTCTCTCGGACTGGGTGGCGAACTGAGCGCCCGGGAGCCTCCGGCCCCTGCTCAAGGTGGGGCCCAGAGTAAGGACCCGCCACAGGAGGTCGAGGCTGAGGCCACGTCCTTGGCGTCGGGCTCCGGGTCCAGCGAGAACCTTAAACTCTCTGCACATGGCGGTGAGGAGGCTGAAGGGGGCAGTTCCCCTAGTGGGCCAAATACACCCAGGTCCGCCCGTCAGAACTTTCGGGACCTGGTGATGGGCAGCTCCCCACAACTAAAGAGGAGCGTGGGTCCTGGAGACGGGAGCGCTGGGAGCATCTCCTCGGGAGGTCGCGGCAGAGGAGGGGGCGACTCCGATAGCGCGTCGTTGGCTTCTTCGTCCGCAGAAGAGGAGAGCAGCGGCGGGGGCTCGGTTACCCTGGATCCTCTCGAGCACGCCTGGATGCTCTCAGCTTCCGAGGGCAAGTGGGACAGCCTAGAAGGGCTGCTCACTTGTGAGCCCGGCCTGCTCTCGAAGCGAGACTTCATCACCGGCTTCACTTGTCTCCACTGGGCCGCCAAGCACGGCAGGCAGGAGCTCCTGGCCATGTTGGTCAACTTTGCCACCAAACACCAGCTGCCAGTGAACATCAATGCCAGGTCGAGCGGAGGCTACACGGCCCTCCATTTAGCAACGATGCACGGGCATGTAGAGGTGGTGAAGTTACTAGTGGGAGCCTACGACGCAGATGTAGACATCAGGGACTACAGTGGAAGAAAGGCCTCTCAGTATCTGAGCGAGACCATTGCAGAGGAGATAAAGAACCTGGTGGGAGCCCTGGACGAAGACGATGGAGACAGCGCCGCCGGCCGCGGGAGTGGGCGCTGGAGGCTTTCCAAAGTGCTCCCGTCACACGTCACTCACAAACTCTCCCCGGTCGTGGAAGGCGGAGCTGAACATCACCACCACCTCGCCGAGGGATGGACTGGAGGAGGCAAAGCAAAAGATTCAGGTCGCAAAGCCTCGGGCAGCTCGAGTGGACGGATAAAACCACGGCTCAACAAAATCCGATTCCGAACCCAGATCATTCACACCACTCCCTCCTTCAAGGATGCTGAACCACCCCTGGAGGAAGGGGAGGAGGAGGAGGAGGAGAGGTCTCTTAGAGGCTACTCATCTTCCTTTAAACTGAGACCGAAGTCCAATGTATTTGGGTAAAAACAATAATTCGTGCTAGAAATGGTAAGGTTTATTTGTCTTCAAGGAAGTAATACTGGGCATGGATAAGAGGTGGAAGCAGAAAAGACAGGATAAGTTATGCATTTCAGCTTGCATGCTTGGGGTGGATCTGTAATAACCCTTTCAGGATAGCATTCTGGGTCAAGAAAATATCTTTGAAGTGATTCATAAAGCACTGATTTGTGCCTCTTCCCGGACCCCACCCTTGTAACCTGGAACTTGTGAGAACTGGAATTATTGATGACTAAGAGTCCCTTTGCTTTTTAATCATGACTAGATAGCATGCAGAGTAAAGGCCATCAGACAATGCAAAACGCATGGTAATGCAAACTGAACCTGCTAAGTCTGTAAGTGAATGAAACTAGAGGCTGTCCTGGTTTTCTACGGTGTGAACTTGCTTAAGGTGCTAAAGAAGGTCAAGGTCAGAGCTGAAATGTGAAACCACAAACGATTATGTGAATGGAGATGGGAATCCCACTGATACTTGTATTGTAAGTAGCAGTTCCCATTCTTAAAGCAATTTCACTTTTTTAATCACTGTACTGAAGAAATAACCCACACTTGCTTTTGAGTGACTGTAATCTGGTTTGTGCCTATATAACACCATTCAGTATACGGTACATTATTAACCACAAACTTTTGGTTAAATAGAAGAACACGTTTATTTAAATAGAACATGTAGCAACCTATGGTACTTTTTTTTAATGTGTATGTTGATTATCACTAACTAGTTTTGCTACTCTTAAATTCTAAACTTTCTGGGTTTTGTATTCTGGGGATTCTTTTTGGTGAAGCTTACAATACTTAAGACTGATTTACTTATCACCTAAACCATTCCTTGTTTAGAAAATAGCAAAACTCAGCATAAGTATTAATAAGCCTATGCTTCTGTGAAGTAATTATTAAATCAATGTAATATGTTTCTCATGTAAGAGACATTTTAATTTTATTAATACATTCATAGTCTCTATGCTTTATAGCAACATTTTACAAATGTGCAAAATACTAAGTCTTTCACTTTTCTTACATTTCTTTGTATCTACTCAAAGAGCTATGGTGTAGTTACAGAAAGCCTAGATAGTTTGCCCATTTAAAAATGGGCAATTTATTATACTTTATAAAAAGAAAGAGAAATGGGACCGTTTCTGTATTTCAATGCTGCTAGCTATTGAATTTCCGTATATATAATTGAAAAAAACTCTTCACAACTGTGATCTTTAATTACATTCCATTCATTTGTGTTAAGAGTAAATGGCTTTATAATTCTTTTAAAATTTAACTTACAAACGTATTAAATCTTATAACAAGATTAGAAACTTCTGCGGGAGACTGATTCGACCAAATCCTTCTCTCTCAGTCTTTCTGGCCTGATTGCTGAAACCTAAGGAAGCCTACAACCTAGAGGGCTGAGTGAGCAGCCAAGCCCTCAGAGCAGAGGAGACTGCGTGCTTATACAGAGCTGCACAGCGCGGTGTTAACTAACCTCCCCACGTCATAGAAACGTCTAACAAATTTGTTACATCTTAAAATAGCAGTTGTTTAAATACGGATTGAAGATGCTCATGAAATAAATAAGTTGTGGCTAAGGAGATGGCTTAGTAGGTATGAACACTTATTCTGCAAGCATGAGGACCTGTGACTGAATCCCCAGCACCCATCTAAAAGGGTACACATAGTTGAGGGGACGAGTAACCTAACATGAGGAGCTGAGACAGGCAGACTCTCAGAGGCCAGTGCCCAAGCCAGCCTACCTGAAAGCAGTGACTTCTGGATCAGGGAGAGGCTGTCTCAAGGCAGTAAGAAAGGCATAGAGGAAGTCACCTGACATTCTACTCTGACTTCAGAATAAGCACACATGGGTGCTCCCCAATATTCTCGTGCCTGCACTACACACAAACACACACATACACACATAAGTCGCTACCCACTTATGTGCCTTTATCTTTGTTTTAGGATTTAAGAAGTAGATCGTGTGCATTGACCACTCTTTCTGTACACATAAGTGAAAAGCCAATGTAAAAAGCAATCATGTGTTCCATATCTAGACATGTTAACTGACTCTAGTACAGCGTAAGCTTACAGTTCTCATCAAGGACTTTTCAATTCCGTGTTAAGATAAGGCAACTATCATTTAACTTCCTTTTCACACTAAAGGTTTAAAACTATGATAAACCATTATATTTTTTGGAGTCATTTCTGGGCAGGCCAGACAGCACAACAGGTACCAGTGGTTGCCTTACAAGCTTAAAGACCTGAGTTTGGCCCTAAAACCCACAGTGGATGGAGAAAACTTAACTCCTGAAAACTGTCCTCCGACCTCCACATGTGTGCCATGGCACCTCCACACCTGTACTCACACACCTGTACTCACACAAACACAGAAAACTAGTCAGTTTACATTTCAAAAGCACAACAAGGAACTCTGGCACTCCTTGTCATGATGTACTTTCTGCAGTAAATGTAACATTTTAAGTTACTTAACTCCATTCCTCTTTATTTTTTTTCAATTTCCAAATCAAGAGTAGAAAAAAAATGATTCATATAATTTGATAATCGTGAAGTTGTATCTCTCAATAGTGACAGTACATAAAGACAGGCATCTGTTGTCAAGAGAATATTGTAGTTTCAAATAGACAGGCATCTATTGTAGTTTCAAAACGAGTTTATGTGTCTTCCGGGTATGCTTGGAACTATGAATGTCAGTTTGCTTTTATGGTACATAAAGTGCAGCTAATGTACTAGTTTATTCACAGCTGAAATACTGGAGTGTGATGTCTGTCTTTTGCTTTAAGTAAGTGAAAGTTTGTGAGTTTAAGAATCTGTGAAGTTTGTCAAAATAAAATGTTCATAGCAGAGAACAAAT